ACAATACCAGAAGTTGCATACATGTTTGATCTTGGAATCACCAAAGGAGATATTCAACACAGCATGGACTTGCCAAGGGTTACGATTAAAGCCTGAGTCACTTCTAAATAAAGTGACTTTTTAACATGCTACTGTGACATGCTATGAAGCTTTCCTGTGGAGGAAAACTTAACACTCTGTCCAGTAGTGGACATCTAGGAACCATTTCCTAATGGAAATGCATACTGAAAATGTAGGTCCTCCTTTACTGAATAAAAAGGAGCAATTTATTTATTTGATGAATAAATATTTTTGGAGCACTGTAAAAAGTGATTTCCCTTCTATCACATCTTTTTGGCTCCAGTAAACCACAGGCCAAGCCACGCTGCACAGCATAAGGGAAATGGCCACTTCCCCATCTCATCCCAACACAAAATCAGCAGCAGGTCAGGGAACATCACATCCCATGAGCAGTTCCAGGGCTGGAATTCAACATGGCATTGGTAATTACCTCAGTATAACACAGGGCATCTTCAGAGATGGCATCATAATCTTGGGCACAGCTCTTTGCAGCGTTTTGGGCAAACTTCATAAATTCTGCAATTTCATTGTTTACTACTTCTTTCATTTGCTGGGGAAAGGAAACAAATCTATTTTTAAGACAAAACATACATACCTCTATGCTAGATAAGTAACCAACAAAATTTCCAGAGAGACAGTACAGGTAATGATATGAGGGAAGAAATGGATTTCACTTGCTACTCAATTTAGCAAGTGTTCAGTTTCACTTAAGTAAAAAAAAAATTTTGCACGGCCCATGCCACTAAGAAATGCTAAAATCACAGAAAGGACAACTTGTAACTTCCTCCTCAGAAAACAAAAAAAGCTTTTATGAGGGCTGGGGAATGTTTGGTCAGTTGTCAAAGATCTACACTTACCCTCAGTTGTTCAGATCACTGAAAAAAAAAAAAAACCCAACAAAAAAGCCCCAAAGCCCAAATTTCAATGAAATAACCATATACACTTTCAATTTCTATTAAAAAACTTATCCTGAATACTTGAAACTTTTATTACCTTTCATAATACCATGAATTCTATGACAATTAATTACGACAAACTGAACTGAAAATCAATTTTTCCCTTTTATTTTTTGTAAGAAAAAAAGTTGTATTACTCCTTTTGTGATGGTTATATGTTCATATCTTACCATGTATGTGAAAAATTCCTTTTGACTTTCTGCAGTAACTTGGAAATGGTTTCTTTTTTTTGAGAACTTAGTCATCAGATATAAGTATGTTTTTTGCTCCTTCTCAGTCAAACAAGAGGTAAATGGATAGGGGAGTCTGGGCTCTGGAAGAGGATGGTCATTAGCTGGGCTTTTAGTGTCCACCTCAAGTGACTCTGCAGCCTGCATGCTACAAGTCTGTCTGTTTTCTGAAGGGTTTGCCAATGCCTCCACATTTTTCTTTGCCTCTCTGAAAGAAAAGCAACAAAGGAATGAATTTGCAGTCTTCATATAAATACTAATATTGGTCAGAAACAATAAAGGCAGCTGTGCAAACCTGAACTGCTCTGAGAGACACTGCTATTCCAACTCCTATCTGCACCAGAGGACTGTTCTTATTCTGAAACTTCACCTGTACAATCAAACTAAGCCTTAGTGCCAGCAGCAGGTCTGCAACTGGTTTAAAAACAAACCAAAAAAGGTAGGGTTTGTTTTTTTTTGGTTTTTTTTTTTTTAAATGGTCTTAACAAGCTAAATATGAAACGCATTCTTTGTTCTGGAAACACACATTATTAATGAAAAGATAATGAATCTGCACATTTCATCAGACACTGATGGCCAGTGTTCAGAAACCGTATGCACTTACAAAAGTTGGACTTGTCAGTCCCTTTGTAAAGGACAATAAAGGAGAAAGGCTTTTTTTAATTAAATCTTTCATTGCGGAAGAAGGAAATTAAAATTACTTCATTGTAACATAGAAATTCCAGATTTCAATGAAGAAATTCTTACAGAGTACACAAATCAAGCATTTCATTTTCTACTCTAAACAATGTTGGAATCGGTCACCAAAAATAATAGTAGGCTAGGGCAAGAGGCATAGCTGTTCTAACAACAATAAAGAAATAACATAAAGCTCATTCTTAAAATAACTCCAGTAAACAAAGGCCAACCAGCCTAGCCCTGGTGTATTTAAAATAATTGTACTTAAGAGAGAAAATATTTAAGGCTAACAAAATGAACATTAACTGGTGATCTTGGAAAAATCATATTTTTAAGATACTATTTCAGCAGTAGAAAACATCTCAAGTGTCATTCAAACCCAGCAGTATCACATCCACAGTTCTTAATAACACTTCACAGCTGTCTCTGTAAATATGAGAATGTGTCCATCCTTGTGGCACAAACTGGCAAATTTAATTAAGCTGTAGCAGCAACAAGATGCTGACTCAGATATGCCAGTGTAAGAACATCAAGAAATTCTAGCAGCTTAAATTGGCTATATTCAGCACTGAATGAAATGGCAGCACATCAAGATCATTTCAGCATGCACTGCTGTCACAGTCTTCATTGGGGTGCAAACCAAAATAATCTGACAGAGCTTTTCTGTCCATATTTACAGCATTATACTTTATTTGAGATGACGGCTTAAATTTTTCCCCTTCATTTTATCAACAACCTGCTTTCACTGCTTCTACACCAACAGAACATACACTTTTGTAAATACCTACGAGAAACTCCCCAAAATTAGCTAATTTCCTCCAGCTTTTACTTTCACACTTGCTTCAACAGGTTTAATTTCTCTTCCTCTTGACTCTGGCCACACAACCCAGTTCCATCAAATTCTGGTTTTTACCAGGTGCAACCTTTGTGGCTCCTTCTGGCTGTAAACCCACTCGAACTACACACAGTTGGCCACAATCCCACTCCAGAAACTCTTCTAAGGAAGAATCCCACAGTAGTATCAGATGTACCAGTAACAAGCTGTGAGGCTGTGCTTGCAGCTTGTTAATTCAAGGGAAGTTGCTCCAATAGGTACGAACCAGAACAGTCTTCTCTAGCTAAAGATGTGGGATGAAGTAATGTGATATAACAGGTAGCCCCCTCAAATGCACACTCTGTCAGTTCTTAAAAACACAGTTAAGACCCCTCTTCAACAAACTATTTCCTCACTTACATGGTTTCCCAGCCACATTCCTCCCAGTGTGAAGGTTCATGCACCAGGCATTGTGTTCACCTCCCTTATCAGCTTAATGACTTCTTAAACCAAGTGTCTAAAAACAGTCCTCCAAATGCTCAGATTGAGCAGCATGAGCCACACTTTTCACTATGTGAAATAGAAGTTATTCTACTTCCTCAACCTAAGATAATATAAAAATGACACCAAAACTACCTGCACCACCCGTGCTCACACAGCTTCATGTCCCAAAGGACTCAACCCAGACTCCTGCTGCTTTCTGAGGTTTCACAATAGATAAACAGGCCAACAGCTGGCCCAAGGAGTCAGTAACAACACCCAGTGTGCTAGTCAACATGCAGCTTTCCCCAAAACAGTATGGGGATCCATTAGATTATAACAAAGAGCACAAAATGATAAAATAATATACCTTTTTGATAAATGCCAGAGTTCGGAGAGGTTCAGAGACAAGGAATGTTTTTCATAAAGTTCATGGGAAAAAAATACTTCTTGGCCATTTTTTGCTGGAATATCCCTAATAAAAGAAAATTTAAAAATAAATATATTGCAAAACGAACAAAAATTAAAGGCCATATCTGCCCCTGAGAAACAGTAACAAGAATTAATTTATACAAAAAAAAAGAGGCTACCTACACAGTGGTTCCAGATTTCCTCTTTACAGAAGTTATGTATGTACTAAAGCCTTATGTTCTTCGATAGTAAAATATGTATTCTTCACAAAACAAAAGAATTTCATTAATACAAGATATCAATTCTAGGTATGGGGAGAGAAATTCTGGTAAGAGTTTCACACTTTCACTAACTTTGGGATAAAATCACTGGAATTCTTGAGAAAAACACACCAGCTTTAACTTTTCAAAAGATATTTGTTCTTGTCTTCTACGCTGATATGACCTTCTAGATTGCCTTTTTTTTTTTTTCTCATATAGCAGTTCAAGTGAACAGGGTTTATACAATCCCATCCTTCCTAACCCTTGCGGAAGGTACTAGCAAAGACCTTATTTATGTTTTACGACACAAACTAATTCCAAGCCACCTCTCTTCTCTAGAGTTAAAGAGGCGAAATACGTATTTGCAGAGCTTTTCGTATTAGAAACACGAACAAGGTCCGTGCCCAGAATCCACCCCCTCACAGCCCCTCAGCGCGGCCTCACAGCCCGGCGCTCCCAGGGGCCGCCGGCGCTCCTCGCGCCCCCACAGCGGGAGCGGCAGGAAATGGCGCACGCGTCCTCGGGGCGGCGCTCGGCGGGGCGGGA